AATCGTTAATTCAAGAGAGGAAACGCGAGCTTGCTTTTTTCATTATTTCGGGTGAGAACTTCGAATTCTCGCTTCGGATCGATGATTCGGTAGGCGTACATCGCGATAGGAGGACTATATTTGGGATTTGCTTAATTTACTTTTCCCAGCGCTCTCTCCCTCGAATTTACGATATAATTTGTCATTTCGCGGATACAGAGAGGATTACGGCTGAGCTAATGCCGGGCTCGAGTTAACGAGTGTCGGAAAATTCAAAGGGCGTCGATTGTCTCCATCTGTTATTCTGAGAACGACGTTCTCGTTTTGTTTCACGACGCCTACGCGGTGTCCTAAGCGTAACGCGTAGCGGACGTCACGGCGGAAACGCGGTGGTTAGTTACGCGACCGCACGCGGGATTTAGGGTCGATTTCCCCAACCCTTTTGGTAAGCTAACCAACAATTAAATCATATGTCTATCTTTGAACAGTTTGAAGAAAAGACAAAGACAGGCATACGATTTGACTGTTAGCGTAGCAACAAGTTGCAAAAATCAACCCTTGGTCGGTTAAGATGGAAAACTATAAAATGCGTTCTGCCGCCATAGATGAGATCTCCCACTTTGAATCTCTCACTTTGAATATTTGCCATTGACGAAGTGCGGCTGAAAATTGCCCGGGCTCCGTCGACGCGTGACCTGCAGCGATAAATTAATTTGGGAAACTCGATAGAGGACACGTTGTTGTACGGCGCGAACTATGAGCGACGCGATTTAATGAACGCGAAAAGTGCACGAGTGGCGTCGTCAGCTATGCAGGCACCGAATCTGGAACGCATATTTCCATTCGCGCCTCGAACGCACAAACGGTACAGCTGCAAGCAGCGATGCAAACAGAGAGAGAGAGAGAGAGATAGAGAGAGAGAGAGGTATTAAATAGTAGATTGTTCGGAGAACGCAGTTCGATTTTAATCTATTCAATTTTAATCTATCCACTCCCGACAATTTATCATCGGGCAAATATTAGTCTTTTTTACGTTTGACGTTCTGCACAAGAGTCTATATGTACTTATCAACATTTGCTATCAATATTTACATGCAACACCGGGCAATGCAATTTCCTCGTATCGATAAATTAATTGACACGCGACCGGGAAACGAATCAATTTGCGGCGTCGACTGAATATATAATTAAATAGAATTAAATATTCATATTAATTAATTGCGGTACGATCGATTCGTTCGCAACGCATCGCAGTCTTATTTGGTATTTGTGCTTCTGGCGAGACACGGAAAAGCTGTGACGTTTTCTCGAGATTTGACAGCTGGCGCGCGCTCGTATTTCGTCCCAGCATAAAAAACATTGTGTGACGTTACGTAAACACATTCGGGCGACCGTTAAGGGATTTGGAGGTTCGGGATTTGGTCGATGCGGCTTTCGACGCGATCGCGCATGTTTTCAGTGATCAATTGATGTTTTCGTAAAACCATCGTGATAACTTTATAAAGATACACGAGATAACTTCATAGACTTGCTAATGATTTAGCGGAATATCCACTTAATACTTTGCTTTGGTCATATAAACGTGTCAAACACAATTATAAGCATAAAAATGCAAATTTTTAAATATGTAAGCGTATAAGCAGTAGCAACAATTTTTATATTTCTTCTCATGTATATCGCGCTTTCATATTATATAAATTCTTCATATTGCTTTTAAACTTTTAACGTGTGCACTATTTGCATATCATATGTCGAATAATAACGTGTACCTATCGAAATAATTAGGGAATTACAATGAATCGATCGGTGAAATATTTATATGAATATTCATATGTCCAAGTAGTTCTATTGAACATTTCTATACCCGAGTCAAAATGTCGATTCCGCATTAATCCTGCAGATTTCGTCGAACTTAAACTTTCCTCGTGATCCCCTAATTAATTTGAAAGTGCAAGAACAATACAAGTCAAGGTGTGAAGTTTTTCGATATTAATATCCGATCGATTTACGGACTAGAATAATCAGATAGCATTTGTTTTTACAATGATAGTCATTACAGACATAATTATTTAACAGTGATAGTCATTTTAGACAAAATTCGTATATTAAATTATGAGAATGCTCGAAATCGGGAGCGATAACACGTACCTTAACTTCTATCGTTAGAGGTCAATGCGGCTTACAGATAAGCATGCAAAACAAGTGCGCTCTGTGAGCGTTAAAATTGAGCACTTACTACTTAGTTGACTTCTGCCGACGTAAGCGCTGCAGCCCTCTGCATCCATTCTCAATTCCAGCTACCGCTTCCATCTTGCGTCATCCCACGTCAATTGCACTTCGCTGCAGCGAAATGCAAACACTTCCACTTTACACACGCGACGCGGTTGTCCGTATCTTAACGATGTTCAGCCGTTAACGATTTAATTCAGCAGTATCGACGGATCATATTGCCTTCGAAAATGTATTTGTGAATGTGTGTTATGTGTGAAAAATCGTAGAAAAGCGCGACAAGAACTGTACGTAAAGAATTGTTTTGTGTATCGTTAGTCGTGCATAAAAAGCCGCAAATTCGCGAGTCAATTCGCAATTTGAAAAAATTGTCGCTAAAATGTGAGCGAGAAAAAATAAAATTTTGCAGGTGATTCAGGTTGATTTGTCGAAATAATTTTACGTTTCGCAAATTCTTAATTTTTAGAATGGACGTCTCGAATTTAATAGCAATTTTTTATTGGGTTTTATTGATTCGTAATGTGTGTGTGTGGCCTTATCATGGTGGCCACTTGGCCACCATGAGCCATAGATTTATAAGAACATAAAAGATCTTGATAATAAAAATCATGAATGGAAGTTCGTGAGTGAAGTAAACGTGACGCGTAACTCTGTACATAGAAGTCATGAATTAAAGACTGACAGCGCGCTTCGCAAAATCTGTCAACACGAGTGAAATTATTATCGCGACTTAAAGTGGCGCGATTCTGGCGCGCTGTGACTCCGCAATTGCGAAGTTCAAGCGTCAAATCTCATTCGACAACAGTCATATCAGAAAATTGAATCGTCATACGAAACGGTGATATAAATATAATAGAAGTGTATCTTAAAAAGCGTAACATTTCAACAGCGCGGAAAGGAATATTAAATCTTTAATTGCAATTCGTTAAAAAAATCATTCATTTTTCTTCATCTTTTCCTCGTAATGTACGGCAAAATATTCGAAAGCGATTATATGAAGCAGCTATGTGAAACAGCTTTTATATGAGTTATAACTGTAATTAGGAATAATCTCTCATAATTCAATCAGACTTTCAAAAACGCTTTCAACGGCGAATTCTTTCGCGACAGCATGATTTATACCACTAATTTCATTCAACGACTTTCTGTCTACATACATGCAAAGGTTAGTCACCAAATACCTCATCACACAACGTAAACCGCATTGATTTTTCACGAGATTTTATTAAAATACTTATTACTTCAAATCAGTTTGGCATAAATCAATTAAAATTTTTAATCTTAATAAAAATCGGCGAATTATCAATCAAAATTAGTCAATTGTTACATACAAAATCACGAGTAATTTCATCGATTGATGAAATTAATTATTAATCATTAAGTTTGACGTGACTGATTATACACTGATCAATAATTAACTTCATCAATCGATTAAATAAATTATTCGTGATTATATATATAAAACTGATTAATCTTGATTCTTGATTTGCCGATTATTTTAGTCAAAGAAGCTTTTAATCTATTAATGTCCAACACTCAAATGTTATTAGTTATTATTTTAAGTAGCCTGTGTATTTTTCACTCACTGATACCTGCAGATCAAAATCGGCCACGTTCTGCTACCATTCTGCTCATGAAATAGAAAAAAATAATTAATTAGAATGAAGAATACAGCTTAAAAACAAGCGTGTGAAATACAGAACGAGTTAACCATTTGCGGTCGTAATACGAGTTTTCATTCTGACGACTATTTCCAACTTTTGACCACAAAGGGTTAAATAAAGGCGAGCAGATAAAAGCAGGTTTTATGAGCTTACCTTCGAGCCGACCCTGCTTGGCCCGAGCTGAATCCTCCGGTACGGCACTCGCAACCCCTGAAACCACGCCACGTCTGCACCCATCATCCACCAGTGAGCTCGCAAGCTCTGCTCCGATTTGAAATGAGGAAGGATTGTCTCAATTTATTACATACATTTATTACATGTATAATATTGTTAGGAATGGATAAAGTAGAAATGATGCACTCACAGATACTTCAGCACAGCCTCATCTATAAGTACCGTCACACTCACACAATTACATAGACACCTCAGTACTGATGCTTTGACATCGATGTCGCAAGACTAACTGAACCGGGAATTAGTCTAGAATCGTCATCGTTATTGTTTCGAAGTCGAGACAACGTACTCAAAAACTGACCGGCGCGAGGCACGCAACCGTACTTGTAAACACAGCGGGCGCCATGCGTCACGCCATCAAAGAAAAAAATGTGTGGTGTTCCTAACAATCTCCCAGTTCAGTTAGTCTTGCGACATTGATGTGAAAGCATCACTAAAGTGTCTGTGTAATTAAAATTTTAATATATGTATATATTCAATATATATGCATATAATTTTCATGTTGAAAATGTAACGTATTTAAAGATCAAAACAATAAGAATATCTAGAATTGAGTACGTGTCTGAGAATTCATATTTTTATTTTACAAAAATGAATTATTGTACAAAAATGAATTATCCTAAAATAAAATATGAATTCTCAGATACGTATTCAATCCTAGAAATTCTTATTGTTTTGATCTTTAAATACATTAAATTTTCAACATAAAAATTATATGTATATATATTGAATGTATACATATATTAAAAATTTAAATGTTCGTATTTAAAGACCAAAACAATAAGGTTGTCCAGAATTAGATACGCGCATTGGTGCTTTTGATTCAATTACCTTTACGCGTGAGTGATTTTTCATTCCCGTCGGGTGATTAAAATATTCTGTCGGCTTTTAGAATATTCAATCGAGCTCTCGTCGGTGTTGCGTTATTTACTTTCGAATTGCATATACGCGAGTGTCAGTGTCACGTGTGAATATCGAGAATGCCGCGGCGGAACAGACGAACAGAATTCAGGATGTTGGACTGGGAATCCAGGATGCCGGGGCACGAACTATGACACATCATATATTTCAAGGTATGGGAGAGAGAAATCATTTATTACACAAGATGTTTCCGATTTTACCGAGCGCATGACGAGCACACCGAGAATAACGATATTGCCGAGTCGGAATTTAAACGTATATTTATAGTACGTTATCATTTGACAAACAATTATAGCTTCGTGAGTTTTTAATTATTCATTAACCTATATCTGCATTTGTTTCACACAAAAAACATTGATCCAAACGGTCAGTATAGAGAGAGAGAGAGAAAGAGAGAGAGAGAAAGAGCTCATAAATATAAATCTACAAATAATTATTCTCTTAATCAAGAATCCTAAACAATTCACACTCATGAATACTTTATAAAAGGAAAAAGATTTCAAAAATAAAAATATTTATTTGGTGGATATTAATAACACATTTACTTAAATCTACTTTTCTTTGTTTGAACATAAAGTAAACAATTGTCATAAAAAGTAACGGTGGTATTTTAGGAAAATATGTATTTTCACATTTAAAAGATATTTTTTCTTAGTGTAAACATGTATATTAGTACGCAATGTGTCATTAGTATCTATCGAATAAATATTTCCTATTTTTTAGATATATTGGTCTCTTAGTGTATCAACTTTAGCATATAGTGTAAATCTCTGTAGCTCTGAAATAAGTTTGTAAATTCCCGAGTCGGAATTTTGGCCCTATGTTAAATCTTGAATTCTATAACGCAGTAGCAGCTAAGTTAACAAAGTAAGTTCAATTCTAATGATACAATTTAATTTAATTTATTTTTACTTTGATGATGTCTCAAATTTCACTTTCTTTAGCGTCAAAATAGGTGTTGAATGGAATAGTAAGGCTGAAACTAGGATTAAAATTTCAACTCGCGTAGATTAAGTAAAATCAAAAAAGGTTGATGTGAATTTCAGAGTATCAAAATAGATATTGAGTGGAATAGCAAGACTGAAAAAGTAGGATCAAAATTTCGGATTAACTTTTTGAAATGAGTTTGTAAATTAATTTATTTCTTTCTGAACTTATATATAACTGAAATTTTTTGGATTTTCTTTTTCTGAAATAAATTTGTAAATTAATTTTAAGCCTTAAATAAAAAAAACAGCCATAACAGATTCAAAGATCACTCGTAATCTCGAGGGAAAAGCCATAGTCTGTATGCAAAAATTTTGATTCAGAAAATGCAATTTTTACATATCCCGTGTGTGTTTCAAAATTATCGAGAAGATAACGCGTAAATGGGTACATATTAATTAAAACGTCATTCAACAAACTCGCCTTGGAAAGAAGTAAAAGAGAGTGAATGGTCGCGTAGTCGTGGGGCTGCGATCGCGATATGAAAAACCGGGCCGTGTTTACCAAGACTTTGATTAAGCCCTCGGCACCTTATTGCCGGTAAAAGCGCCGGTGTGCGGTTTCCGAGTAAACTCCGGCGCTGCGAGAAGAATGGAGCATAAAAGTCCAGTTAAAGGCAATTATAACACGGGTGTTGGGCGCGAAAGAAATCGATGATCGTCAGGAGCGTGGATTTCCGCATCGCACGAATTCCCGTCGCGCGACGATCAGCTAGAATCGTACGCCGCGATCCGATCGCGTTCCAATTTGTTTCGAGTCCGATTCAAATTAACACATTCCGATCATCGTTGTGCTCGACTTATTCGCCTAATTTATTTGCCTATCTCCCTCTCTCTCTTTCTCATGCGCGCGCGCCTGAGCGCGGAGCAAGATACGACGCAGAAAGCAATGCCGCGAATTAGTCCCGTTGCCGAGTGGTGCAGAAATTATTACGCTTACCGTTTCTGTATGCTTATGTTTAACGAAGAGCCGGTTTGCATACAAGTTTAATTGCGAGCCTCTAAAGCCGCGGTAATAATCTTTGCCGCTATTAGAAAATGCCGCGATCTATTTGCGTCTGTGGTACTAACGCCAGTTGCGCTGCTGGCTCGCCGAATTTCAGCGCGGTGGTTAATTGAAAAATATTCCCTCCGAACTTTCCGCTAATTTCGCGCTCACCAGCGCGGCCAGACAACGGAACAGCGTGACGCGGACACAGGAAGAAAAGAAAATTATTTACCAGGCGATATCGCAGAATTGGGATCAACAAGTTAATATTTTGCTATCATGATGTAACGATAAATTGCCTCGATACATCCCAATGATTTTATAGCGCACCTGGCGATATTGAATAATGTTTACAGCGCAAACATCCATCTCTATTTTTCTCGCTGCCACACAGGCAGCGTAGGAAAAGTAATGGTGCACACTGCACGATACATCGCGCAATATTTTTTCTCTTTTTTACAATCTGACTAAAAATGGCGCAGTTATCGACGTTATCTCGTTGGCCGACGAACAAACGTCGAGAAGAGAAATCGCGGGACGCGACAACAGATCGCATCGACAATGACAAGGCACGAGATTTTTTTCCCTTTTAATAAGTGATCACAACACAAGTCGACATCTTGATCCTCTTCTCGACCTCAATATTCCATTTAATGCCTATTTCAGATACTCTGAAGCCTATACCAACCTCTTTTGACTTTATTCAACTCATTAAATTGATCAAAAGATATTCTTTACAACCTATAAGTAGTAAAATGATCAGACGTCCCAATTTTTTCGGGACAGTCCTAATTTTTCATTCTTTGTCCCGAATTTTTTTGAGTATTATTCAGGACACCGATTTGTCATCATTTTCAATGATTGTCAAATAATTTTCGAATCTTTTTACCTCCTTCCCCCGCCTTCCGCTTCGCACATTTATAAAGTGTCCCGAATTCAGGGCTGGGAAATCTGGTCACTTTACATATACCGCGAAGAGAAACGAGAAGATTACTTACAAATGACGTCTTCACGATGCGCCCCGACGATCGCACATCGCTATTCTCGACACTCCCGATACTTATTTCCGCACGAGACTTACTTTCAACGGGTTAAAGACGCGTAAAATGCGGAGCGATGTCGATCGATGCGTCCACGACGGTTGCTCGACGCAGAAAGATCGAAAATCAAGATGGTCGCGCGATTGTTGAATCGCGCTGAAAATATACGTCAATATATGAACGACGCCGCAGCCGAAAAGAACGCGCTCTATGAGATACTTCTCTCTCCGTCTCTTTTCCTGACAAGCTG